GGTGTACGGGAGCACAGACCAGGACAGGCTTGGGATGCTCAAGCCAAGACTCCAGTGAAGGAGAGCGACCACCACCCAGCTCCCCCGACACCTCGCCATCCTTCTGCTTTCCCTGACAACCCTCCTGGCCCCGTGGGTCCTGCCTGCCCGTGGCCACCGTGGGCTGAGGCTTCGCAACGCCGCTGCCGGATCGGCACGGCGAGCTGGGTCTCCCCTCTTCACCTCCCCTCTCCTCCCTCCTGGGGAAGCCAACGCTCTCTTCAAAGTTTCTTCTTGCTTGGCTGCCTTCGAGATCCGGGAACTCAACACTAATTAACGTGTCTGCAAATCCCAGCTCGGCTGGCAGGGCCTCAAATTCATTCACGGTCCCCCGAGTGCAGAAGGATCCACAAGCTAGCCCTCTGGCTCCTTAAACTACACGGCTGGCAGATGCATATTTTAACAACACACATCTGTCGGCTATATAATCTCTTGTATTTGCCCTCCCTGCTCCGAGCTTTGATGGAAGACCGGAGGGAACTCTCCAGTGGTTACTGCCAAAGTGTTTGCTTTGCAATTTCGCTCGATTGCGGTCTGATTTTATTTTTAAATTTCTCCAAGTCCTAATCAGGCTCTTGCTTTATTTAATTAATACCCGGGCTTAGTTAAATAGATCATAAATTAAGAAGCCCTGCCATTAAAGAGGTACCAGGTAGCAAATAGCCCTCCAGTGGCTTCCCAAAGTCTGCCTGGCTCGGGCTCCCCTGCCGAACTGCTGCCCTGACATCCTCTGCCTGCAGAAAGCACGGGTGCCTCCGTACCTCCCAAATCCCATCTCCTCAGCTTTATCAGCCGCTGCCCTCCCTGCTGGGGCAGAGAGCCCTAGGAGAGAGATCAGCGGCTCCTTCCCTGGACAATTTGGGCAATGATAGGAGAGAAGGTAAGGGAGACCTGGAGAAGGGGAGTCCTTCAGCTTTGGGATGGGTTAGCCGGGTTCCTGAGCAATATTTTGTCCCTGAGACTCTACAAATAAAAGATTTTCCGCGATGCTGATGACACTAATAGGCTCATCTGTTTGAATGCTTGGACTTCCAAGGCTATGGAATGATCTGTTCCACTACATTTAACCATGTAGATTTGAAAACAATGTGACAAAACCTTAAATATTTAATTAAAATATGGTGTAGCTCTGCATCTGAGCAGGGAATTAAGGAGGCATCAGCCCCATAAAGCTGTTGTCAGACACGAATGACAGCAGTTGGAAACCGAATTGGGAGGCATTAGGGGATTTCTTGATACCAAGGAAGTGGAAAAGCTGGCAAGAATGGACAAGGCAGCACCAACCCAGGCAAGGGATTTTCCAGAGACAAGGCTGGGGCGTTATAGGGCTGTCCTGGGTTGAGTGAGTGGTGGAGTTTTTTGGTGGCAGGGGAGGGGGCTATCGGGGCGGCCCCCTGTGAGAAGCTTATCGAAGCTCCCCCAGCTCCACGTCAGCTCCACTTCTGTTTGGGAAATTGAGCCAATCGGCTGCGCCTCTGCGATAACGTATTTAAGAAGGGACGTGGTGACGGGCAGTGGGACTTGTGAGGAGGAGTTGCTGCAGCTGCATGAACAACAAGGTCAGTGGAGGAACGGAGGAAGAAAGGAGGGGGGAGGTGTGCCGGAGCAGAGACCCCCCTGTATCCTGTGGTGAGACGGCAGGGCGGCCCCCCCTGCCACCCATGAAGATCTACGGTGGAGCAGACATTGATTTACAGCCTGTTGTTCCTGCTCGGCTGATCAAGGTGTCTGTGCCCGAAGAAGGCCGGGGTCTCATGGGAAAAGGCAGCCCCGCTGCTGTAATTCAGCGCTGGGAGGATTGCAGCATGCGGGGGAGTCCCGCGCCGCAGCAGCTCGGGAAGGGCTGCAGCCGTGGGAGGGAATCCAGTCGGAGGAAGTTAGTGACCCATGACGGAGCAGTGTGGGGAACGCTGCGGCCCATGGGAGGAATTCAAGTCAGAGAAAGTTTATGGAGGACTGTCTGCTGTGAGAGGGGGACCACGATGGAGCAGGGGGTAACAAGTTTTGGACACTCCCCTCACCGAAGATGAAGGAAGTGGCAGCACTGACTGCACCCCCATTCCCTGCCCCTGCGCCCCTGGGGGAGGAGGTAGAGATATCGGGAGCAGAGCTGAGCCCGGGAAGAAGGGAGGGGTGGGGGGAAGGTGTTCTCAAGATGTGGCAGTGCTTCTCACTGTCCTACTCTGTTATGTGTTGTTAGTGTCTGTAATAAATGTATGTTCTTTTTTTTCTTCCCCTAACGAGTCTGCCTTTTGCTCATGATCATAAAAGGGGGATTTTCCCCCATCCCAGTCCTATCTTGAACCCCAAGCCTGGCTCTCTGTCCCTTCTCATTGCCGGAGGGGAAGGGAGAGAGAGCTGCTGCATTGTGGTTGGCTGCCAACCAGGCCTAAACCACGGCAAGGGCGGGATGGGGTTCCCCAGAACTGCCTCCGACATCCCCGGCTGGCTGACGAGCTCCTCGAGTCGCTGGCAAACCCAGCGGCAGACGATGGGCTCCCAGCCACGAGAGCCTCCCAGCTCTGCTCTAGCTGTGACAAATCGTTTCCTCGAGAGCGGCAAGGTTTTGCACGCAGATCCGGGCACGGCTTAGGGATCCTCTCCTGCCACGGAGAGGCCCTGCAGCCTCCAGTGAAGCTGGGCAGACTGGGATGAAGGAATGCCCCGCAAGCATCTTCTCCAAACGGGGTGGCTCAGGTAGCCTGCCACATCCCTTCCTAAGTCAGCAAGATGGAATTTGGGAGATCCGCGTCCCCCCGGAGACGGCTGCTTAGCTGATGACTAAAGCAGGCTCGTCGCGTCGGCACGCACCAGATCCGAAGAGGAGAAACATTTGCACAGCTGGTGGCAATACACATCTGTAACCACCGAAAACCTCTCTCCATTTTCCTGTACAAATACGCGCTTTGCCTCCCTAACGTACACTAACTTTAGCTTGATGCACTGCACGCTGTAACCGGCTGTCAGGAGCCAGCGCTGGCTCTTAACACACTGGGTGTCGGAGGCATTTACTTTTGACGTGCTGTTTCTATCCCCCTCCACTGGGCTGGCTAAAACGCAGGCTGCAGACCATCCCCGGCAACGCCTGCCCGCGCTGCCGGTGTGCCAGGACACGCCATCCCACTGCAGAGGTAGCAAAGCGCGAGCTGCTGACCGCTAACGACCTCCCAGCCCCTTTCCCAGGGTGTGCATTATCACTCACACCTCCCCGACCAGCCTTAAATTTCCCCAGAACATCTGCATAAATACATCTAAAGTGAAAGATGTGCTACTGATGGGCTGCAAAGCCCCATTTTCTTATCGATTGGGTTTAAGTTGAATGCACTATAACTTTATTTTTCTTAAAAGGAAAACACTCTGCGAATGTAAGTTGCTGAACATCTTAGGTAAATGTACCAATTAGCAACTACCATGTATATTCACATAAACATTAACTACCATCTATTCAACACATTCCATAACCCCACAGATAATAATGATTTCCTTTTGATCCATAAAAACATCACTCTGTTCAATCAACGCTTTGCAGCAGCTCTGAGCTCTGACGTATGCCCGTGCGCCCTGGGACTAAATTAGTTTTGAAATCTTTAGCTCTAATTAAATAACATTATTTCTTTTGTCTGGCTCCTGCAACATATTCTGCCTTCGCAACGGAACGAGGGAGCCCAGGCAAAGGAGGGGAAGGCGACAGAGCTTGCAGAGGTTGTTGGTAAGCGAGAGAGCCCCCCTGACAGCCGTGCTCTGCTTCCCGATTCATTTGCAGGCTTCTTTCATGTGTGGGCACATGTCAGAGCTCTGAGCTGCTGCGAAGGGTTGATTGAGCAGAAGGATGGGTCAAAAGAAAATCATCATTATCTTCGGGGTCAGGGAAGGCAGTTGGGTAAGTTTGGGGGTAGGGTACTTTGTAGGGTTGTGGAGAGAGGAAAACAAACGCAGGGGAAATTACAAACTAGAAATTAGAACTCATTTTTGCGGTGGTGTGCAGACTCCCATGAGGTGCACCTTCAACCACAACCACTACCTTAACTCACTTTTTTTTTGGCTATTTAAGGCTAATTAATGTTGATCTGACTAAAAGCACTAACACTCTTGGTTTGGAACTTTTTTTAAGATCTTTTTTCCCTAAAATTTAACCAGGAAAAAAAAAAAAAAAAAAAGGAAAAAACAAATCCAAACTTCAATTTAAACAAACTTAAATATGCAAATAGTTTCACTTTGGGGGTTGAATAATCAGGACGTGTTCAGGAGCAATACAGACTGGTTTTTGTCCAAGCTTTTTAAGAAAAATATCATTTTCATTGACTTTTCTGAAGCCACATCCATTCTGGGCAGTCTCACTGATGCCGCCTGCCTTTTCCCAGCCCTCCTGATAAAGCACTCGCAACCACTTTGCCAGCCTGCCAACAGAGCCCGTTGCCTGTGTCACTCTCCCATCTCTCACACAAAAAGGGTCTTTACAAGATGTTGGGAGCCATCTCCTGTTTGCAGTCCCATGCAGCATCCTCCTGTGTTGCTCATGGGAAAGATTAATTACTGAGAAACACATGATGCTAAAAGATATGTATGACAATAGAGAGTATGAAAATCAGCCTTTTCTCAAGCGGTGCAGTTGTTCTGGTCCTTCTGCAGAACAGCATACTGCACTGATGGCACTGACACTCTTCATATCTGTAAATTTATGCACATACACTCTTGAATTGGCATGTATATTTGTAGAGCTGAAGTACCAAACATTCTGTGCTTGTGTTACTCATCCCAGAATTGCCATACTCCCTAAACAGCTTCCTTTGTTACTATTCTCAGGATCAAGATGCACCCCCGTAGCTCTTGCGATGGATTAATTTCCAGCCCTCTTGGTTTAGCAACAAACCGTTTTGTCAAAAAGCCACGCCAGTGCGACTGTGAGGACAAACGAAAAAAAAAAAAAAAAAGCAAATAACCTCCAATACGATGGGACTTACCGAGAACAGTCAGCCGGGCAGGTCTGGATCGGATGGCTGCCTGAATGGCCTGACATTCGTAGACGGCGTCATCTTGGAGATCAGCTCTCAGGATTTTCAAGTGATGCTCTCCAGACAGATGGTCTCCTACGACCAGATAGCGTGGATAACCTGCAGAATGCAAAACACGAGTCAGGAGGCAGCTAGACCAATGAGCCCGAGGATGAAGAGTATAGAGCTTGGGTCCAGAGCCCCAGCCACCCCCCTCCTCACCAACGCCCAGGAGCCAGGAAGCTTCTTCTCCCTCTTTGGCAGTCAGGCCAAACAGAGAGAGAGGCCTTCCAAATTTAGGGAAGGGACTGCAGGTCTTGCCCTAAGAGTTCAAAAAAGAAGTGCCGATGAAGGAGCGTTAGCTGGAATCCTTAGAAAAAGGGACAAACCCTTCCATTAGGAAATCCACCACCTCCAGCTCCTCTAAGACCTGACGCGGGATTTCCTCATCTCCTTCGGCTGGCTGTGCACGTGCTCGTGGTGACACCCTGGCACACTTCCACTATTAGGTGTGTGCAAAGGTTGGGCAGGGGGACGTGGAGGGTACGGACAGCCGTGATCAGCCTGCCCTGCGTTTTGAGACATCTGAGGCACCACAGAAGGAAGGCTGTCCTCAGCCCACCCCCCCCCGCGCTGGTGATTAATGCACTGTGTAACACAGGCAGCCTGGCACACGCTTGTGTTTCTGTTGTTTCGCAAGCTATCAACAGCAGGATTTGCTCTCCTGAACCACAAGAAATACAAATGATGGGTTTGTTTGTATTTAGCTAATTAGATGACTGGCTGAGCTGGTATCATGCGAGCTGGCAGTTCCTCTTGCTTAAAGCAGACCCAGCTCCGTTAATTGTGGAAGTCATTCACATAAGCTGCATACTTCAGTGGAGCTGTTGTTACCCAGTCGTGTTGCAAGGTCTTGTATGGAAAGCTCAGCTCTCTAATATATGTAAAAGTTGTGGTATGCAGCTCTGAAAAACAGTCGAGGAGGGGACTGCTCACTCAGGCAAGCCTAAGAAATGAGTAATTATATGTATTAAAAAAAAAAAAAAAAAAAAAAAAAAAAGAGGAAAAGAAAAAGCAGGCATTGCACTTTAGAGGAGCAGGGTCCCTGGAGGCTAAGATACACGAATCCTCCCCTGGTTTCTGAATGCTGCTGCTTGACTTGGAGAAAAGCCCTCTCAGGTCTCCTGTGCTCTGCAGAAGTTGAGCGGTGGCAACGTCACAGATGTGCAACCTCTGCTGTGCTTGGGGGGACAAGGCTGCAGCTCTTGGAAGGGCTCGGTGCCCTCCCAGGTTTCTGGCTCTCCCTTCATCCTGTGAAGTATTTCACTAAAACATCAGTATTTTCCAGCAAAATATATAGAATAAAACTGTATAACTTCTCCACTATTGTTCCAGAGTCTTCACCATTTATAAAAAACCCTCAATCACAATGCATGTGGGGGATTAAGTAATGAGAAGTCTGGGGAATTTCATTACCAAACTATAATTTGCCAAAAGTATGGCTTAAGGAAGCCACAAGTACTTGTGGGCTCCGCTGGACTGCAATAAACACATTTATTCAAAGCAAACTGAGACTTTCTTTTTTTTTTTTTTTTTTTTAGAATGTCAAAACAGGCACTTTCAACATTTACAAACCATTTCAGTTTGCATTTTGGAAACATGACATTTGTTTCCAAAAGTCAAGCAGAACAAAAGCAAGGCTTTCCAAAGGGTCAGGTCCCCAAAACCGACTGTTTTGTTTCGAGTCCGAGCTAAAAAAAAAGTTGCTGTTTATTCCAAGTTTCAATGCTTATGTTGGCTGGGAGGTTTTGTAGTTGAAATGAAAACAACTCATTATTCCAAAAATAAATACGGTGGCTGCACCTGGGCTGTTGTGCAGGGATTGCTCCCGTTTTCCTTGCGCAGTATCACGACTTACTCGAGAGATCCCGTCCGACTCCGAGGGCGAGCCCATCTTTGATCCACAGCACGATGCCATTGTACTCGGGGATGGCGCAGAGCAGCGTCACGGGCTGCCCGGCGATCACCACCTGGTCCTGGGGCTGCTGCGTGAAGGAGGATGCTTGACCTGGAGGAGAGGGGAAGCACGAGAGAGAAAAAAAAAGAGGCTGTCAGTTCTCAGGCGGTTTGCCACGCGGTGCAGTGCCTTGGGATGCAACAGCACCGGACGCTCCTGCCACAGCGCAAACCTGAGGCAGGGTTCTGCAGCTTTTGGCAGCTTATTGCCCCCTCATACACTTAGACCAAAATTTGCCATGCTTTCCCTCCCTAGGGGAAAAAAAAAAAAAAAAAATGATGCAGCAAAGAGGTGCCAGGGATTTCCTCTAACTATTTTATTCCAAATTGTGGTGCTGGTGTTTTAGTCATCACAATCAACAGACGGAAAAGCGGCAGGCTCTCAGGAAGCAGTAATATTTTGTATTACACCTAATACAAGAGGATGCTGGTCCTCTGCTTCTGATTCTCTCTCCCACCTCACGTGCTCTCTGAAATCCGGCCGCACAGTTAAGAACCTGCTACGAAACATGCAGAAAAACAACGGACTGCTGCTGTTCTCTCTTCTCCCAGAGTGCAACCTACTGGGATTTGCTGGAAGCTTCACACACATCTGGGGATGAAAGGAAGCAAGAGCCCTGGTTTAGCACTGCCTTTGGTCAAAGTTTCCTCGTCAAACTCAGAAGCCATCCAACCCTAATGAACCAAAGCTCTTAAGCATGACACCTACCGCCTTGGTTGACATGGGTGGACCAAGTGTGGTGGTTTATCATCCCCCTCCTCACCCTTCCCCACCCTGAAGGCTGCAATAACAAGTCAGAGCCCTCGGGTCATCTCCTGCCCTGGGGAGATGTCTCACACCTCAGGTGTGAGGTGAAACTTCTCACTTTCAACAGAAAATACTCTGATGCAGCGTATCCTCTTTCACATCAGACTTTGCTAAGCACTGGCATTATGTCTTATTTTCACTCTTTGAAATACATCATCATTCCTCGGCTTTGTCATGATTGAAAAACATTCACAGGATTAAATGCTTCTATTTTTTTTTTTTTTTTTTTTCCTTCCCAAAATGTGTGCTCTGGTTTTCAATAGGGCACGGTGGGAATCTGGGATGCCCATATAGCACATCCCTGTGGTTTGATGGTGGCAGTTTGCTCCCTCTTCTCAGATCCGAGCTTGTAAAGAAAACAGAAAAGCAAGAACAAACGCTGACGAGGCACCCCCTGAACCAAATATACCCCTGGGCTATCTTAGAGAGGTGGCTCGTGGTGCTCCAGGCTAGCACATGTACGTAGTGCCACAGCCTAATGCTGGAAGGTCCTAAACGTAAAGCCATTTCAGGCTGCTGATATCTGGCCACCTTGTGAGCAGGGTCCTTTGTGTTAGTCATTTGTGGAGCATCTGAATAGCGCTGTCGCTTTGCCAGCACTGAAAGTCTTGCTCTTACTCTGGATATAGGAGAGATCTGAAAAAAGAGAGAAGTTGGGAGAAAGGCAGAATGACTGGATTGCTCCTCGCTATATTACCGGAGGGATTTTAAAGATCAGGAGCCTTGCTGTGTGTGAATTATCGCCCTGCAACAGGCACAGAATTAAAAGCCCACACCCCTCAGCTGAATGTCAGTTCAATACACAGAATTGTACCAGGCTGAAGAAAAAGTTTCTCTTTAAAATCAATTTGTTAAACCAGGACAGTCTCCATGTGAACCACCCTAAATCAATTCAATCCTAATTTACATTAACTCAATTTAATCATTGACTGACGATTAATCCTAAACCAAGGTTAAGTGTGACACAAGTTCTTGCAACTAAACTTGTTTCCAAATGAGTTGTTGGGCCTTGCTGACAGGGCAAAGCTACAAAACCTCAATCATTTTCTAACTTGTGTAGTTAAACCAATATAGGCCCCCATGTGAACGCTTATATTTCAATCTAATCTATTGCAGGTTAACTTAAACTTGCTCTTAGCCTGCGAAAGATGCATGGGGAAGAGCAGAGCTATTCTTTCTAGATTTCTGCTGGTTTACATACGTCAGGTTGAAAAGCCCTGCTGAAATATTTGCCAATTTCCCTGCAGCACCCAGGTGCACCTCAAGCATCATATTCCCGGGTATTTCAGAGGTCCTGGCTCTCCCGGCACCCATGCACTCGCAAGGAAATCTGATTTTCATCACAGGTGCTCCATCAGGCCACGGTGGTGGCTCTCGGTGTGGCACTGTGTGCACAACAGGACAGGCTTATTCCAGGGGAGATTCAAACTCCTTCTGCTGGGAGAGACTCGCTGGAAGTCACGGTGGCCTCCGATATCAGCAGAAACCCTTGCAATGAAGAATTAAGAATCAGAAATTTGGTTTCAAAGGGAATATTAATCAGCTCTGTATTTTATTCAGACTCATGAAGGACAAGCACTCCTAGGATACTAAGGAAAAGCAGGGAGGAGAAAGGAAATTAGGAAAGGAAGCAGAAAAACATGTGAGCATTTGCTTTGTTTTGTTTTGTTTGTTTTTTTTTTTTTTTTTTTTTAAATATATATATATATATATATATATTTTCCACCTACTAACTATGTTTTCATGGCTCACTCCGTAATCTTGACAATTCTCGAGGCAAGCTGGGACAGCACTGGAACACGGCAAGAACCCAAAAAGATTGTTTTATCGGCAAGAATTATCAAGTTGTCAGCTGGGAGCTGCAACAGTCGTAATGAGAAAGCAGAAGCACAAAGTGGTGTCTATGCCCTCTGAAAATGTCCATTAAGCAGAGGCTTCATTTGGTAATTGCTGTTGGAAATGAAGCCCTTTTTAGGTGGTTTTTTTTTTTTTTTTTGTTTCTTCATTTGTTTTAGAGAGCTGCTGATGGCCATGGAAAATCGGAGCAGAAACATGGCATATGTCTCCTGTCTTTTCCTTCCCTCTGTTCAGTGTGAAAAATTGTCCCTTGAAACCTTTTTTTTTTTTTTGTCCAAGGCTCCATCTCAGCTACAAACAGCTCCGACTCAGTCACAGGAGAGGAGAGACAGGGGTAAGGACCGTAAGAGCATTACCTGGCCCAGTCCCTGCTCCATGGCAGGATCATCTCTCCCTAAACCACAGATAAAAAAGAAGAAGAAAAAAAAAATACTGAAGGCAGAGCTCAACTAGCTTTCAAATCAGCTTAAAGTCTGATTTCTGGGTTTAACTGGGTTTGGAAGATCAGAGGCCTGTCCACGTTACAGCTTTCAGCTGTCTTATGTCTTAATGTCAAAGGAACAAGTAATTTGCAGAAAAGTTTTAAAGGAGATAAGATACTTGACAGAAAATAACTGAAAATGGGGAGATTGGGAGAGGGTGATTTACAAATGCAGGTTGAGTGGCTTCAGCTACAAGAAAGTGGGCTGAAACACATCAGCTGGGTACTTCTCCCATGAACATTTACAACATTATTACAAAATGGTGCTTTGGTTTCAAAGCTGGGTGGTTTGACTCCAGGGACAAAACAAAACAAGCACTTCAGTGATCACAAAATACTGTTGATCAACCAGAAGTCTTCTCTCTCCTTCCACTAAAGAGGGTGTTAGCCCCCCAAAATCCAGTTTTAACTATAACCTGCCTGCCCAAATCCAAATCCCCTGCCCCGTGGCAGTGATCACAAACGGCCGGGAGACGCGGCAACGCGTGTAAGTCTCGTCCCTCCCACCAAGCGTGGTTCCCTTTCACTTCCACACCCCGTTTTGCCTCTTTTCAAGCGTAAAGACTTGGCATATTTTCAAGGAAAGCAATAACCCAACTGACAGTTGGCTTCCCACAAGCGTCGCTGGGAGCCGCTTGGCCCCGACTGTCCCCCCAAGAGCATCCAGCCGAGCGTCTTCTGCGATTCACCCAGCAGAGAGGAGATGCACCAAGCAGAAGAAAATATCAGGACTCTGAGTTCACTGTTGATTTTCCAAATTTTTTTTTTTTTGTTTGTTAAAGCAAACGGATATGTAAATGAGATGCTAACCATGCCTGCTGGCCACGCCCCAGCGCGACGGCGAAGTCCTATCTGCACTCTCAAGCTGCCCTTCTGCTGAATGCAGGTTGTGAGCCGGAGGTCAACCTGCTGTGGTAGATGGGGGCTTTGGTGTCAGAGAAGGCACAAGACGCTCTTGATCTCCGAGCCTCATCTTCCCCTGGTTGCCGGCTTTGCTGAGCTCCCTGAGGAGCTACTTACACTGCCAGACGACTGCGTGACCTGTTTTCTGGCCCTGCGATTTCCTGTCTTCCTGGAGGAAGTCTTTCTAAAACAAAAGCTGGGGGAGGGGGGGCATTTCTCCCAGCTATTGAAATCCAAAACGGCAGGAGCAAAATGGGAGAATAAAGGACCCACGGTGAACAGTGAGCAGGCAATAAGGCTAACCCTGCTTTCAAAAATCACAGGCAGGATCCTTATGAAGTCACAAGCATGTCATAAAAGCTTAAGAAAAAAAAAGAAAAAAAAAAAGAGGAAAAAAGAGAGAACCACTTTAGAACTCTTTATATTTCCTTAATGGATTTTGCACCTGTGGCTCCCGTTTTTCAGTGTTTCTCTGTAATGTTGCCTTGTTCTTTCTAACAAAGGCTGAGACTCTGCTATGTTTGTGACTTCCAAGGGAAATCATGCCGCCAGCGCCATAGCATTCCTTTTCAGAGAAGTCCCAACACCCACGCATGGTGAGAAGGACCAAAAATCCCATTTTACAACCCAGAAAATGGAGGGAGGCACCTACATGACAATGTTGCCAAGGTCAGGCAGGGCACCTGCGATGCAGCAGGACCTTGATGCTCCTTCCATCTCCAAAGCCTGAATCAGTGACCGTCTTTTTAAGCCCTCTGAAGACTGAAATCTGTTTGCATGAGTTCTTGTCTGAATTATTTCAGCTTGCATCCTCCTGTGTAAAAACCAGCCTGCCTGCAGACAACTTGCTGCAAGAAGAGAAGAGACAACCGGGAACAGCAGATAGTTAAATTTTCATTACCCAAGAGAAGTGAGTATTGTAGTAAGAAGCAAGGGACTTACAGAGGGAACAATGACTCATTAGAAATGGAGACACTGTGGCTCCTTTTATGTAAGTGGAGCT